CCTCCAGTCGACATAGTTGGCAGTAAGGTGGGCGTTTGTTTCCACGCCCCATACCTTGATAGAATGAACCACGAGTGTAAGATTTGCCATGTCCTCATGATGATGAGGAATCAGTTGATGATCGAGACTGAATGGTATGAAAAGCGGCTGGAGCGACATTGGAGTCACTAACAGATTGAATAAAGAGTTCGTGACTTTCAGCTTGAGAAACAAGGTCATGAAACCTAGGTATCAGGGTGATCAGTCGTTGAGTAGTAGAGAATGTCTCAAACGATGAACCAAGGCCACACAGGAACCGGTGAGATTTATCATCATCTTCCAGTGGGTGACCAATAGGCTGAAGTTGATCACAAATGCTCTTAAACTTGTGAGAAAATCCAGAAATAGTGGAGGTACCTTTTTGAGATGTCAAATTGAATCCCGAAGAGTGTGAGTTTGTTCAAGGGAGTCATGTCGATAGGTGTTTGCGAGGGCATTATAAACTGCATGAGATGTGGTATGACCAAGAGTCTCGGTAATTGCTTCCTCAGATAATGAAGACTGAATCAAAATAAGGGCACGTTGATCAGCAGCAATCCATGAAGCATAAGCATGATTTGGGGATGATGTGTCACGAATAATTAAGGTGGTCGGCGGATGTGGGATCGAACCATCAACTAAATTATTTAGTTTCTGATAAGAAAGAATAGGGATCATATGTTTATGCCATAAAAGATAATTAGTAAATGAAAGCTTGATTGTGAGCATATGAAGCACAGTTGATAGAGGAAGAGGGGGATTGGTGGTATTAGAATCGTTGGCCATGATGATGAATAGTGAACAGAAGATGATGACCAGGAATTAGGCTAATACCATATTATGTTTAGAGAAAACTCACCTTACTGTGAGTACGTTTATTGAATAATATATATCAAATTAAAACAAACTTCCAATAATATAGGAGATACAAATCTAATCCTATTTTAACTAAGATTATTTCCATTAGGGATGTTGTTTTCAGCTTTGATTATAAGGTTTGTTTTCTTTGATCATCCTGATAGGTTGGGGGTGGTCGATTGATCCTTCTGGCGACTTTTCTTTTTCTCTAGCTAGGAGAATTCTAGATAGCGAGACTGTATCTGGAACTGACACTTTAACTAGATGGAATAACCTTGTTCCTGTCAACTTGAATATATTACCTTGGAGGATTAGTTTGGGGTGTATCCCTACTAGACTGGGTATTGATATGGATTCAGTTTTGTGTTCGACGTGTTTAGATCATGTGGAGATGGTAGATCATTTTTGTCTTGAGTGTCCAACTACCTCTGCTACTTTGCATATTATCAAGAGATGGTGTTCTATTGATGTCCCTTCTGTGATGTCAGTGGATTCTTTTATTCATTGGTCGAATCAGGTTTCCTTTTCAGCTCGACAACATGAAGTCCTTGTGGAATTTCGGAATGCTCAAAATTTGGATAAATAAACCCTAAGAAAGCTAGTATTTTCGATGATATCATCCCTATAACGTTTTTTTTGTTTTTTTTTGTAATAGAAAAAAGTGCAAAATGCAATGGCTTAGATGGTTGCAGAATTATGTTTGTTATATTCTACGTCTTTGTAGTTTTTTGTTAGTTTGTTTATACTATTTTAATTGATCTAAAAATAATAAGACAAAATTGCAAAAATGGTCTTTGTGGTATGCATTTTTTTCGAGGGTTAGTCCAAACCTCGACTTTTTTGTCTTCATGGTCATTTTGAGTTAGTTTATTGCGTTTTTTGTCCCTCCGAATAGTGAAATGACTGTAATGCTCTTGGAGTAATTATTTCCCATTTTTTTTTCATTTATTTTTAAATATAATACTAATTTATTTATTTTAATAATCAAAAGAATAAGAAAGGTCCCACATTCTCTCTCTCTCTCTCTCTCTCTCTCTCTAAATTCGTCTTCCACCTCCACAGCCAAAAGAAATTTGGCCTCAAATCAGAAATACATTCCTCTCATCCCTCCTCTCGACGGAAACCCCTACACATAAAAATCCGACAACATTTAGCGTCTCCCCACTCCTCCCCATTCTGCCACCATCACCTTCGTTTATACGAATGATATGTGGGGTATATTAATTTTTTAAATATATAAAAAATAAATATATAAATAAGAAAATTAATTAAAAAATAAATTAATAAGGGCAAAATAGTCTTTTTAGGTAAGACAGAAACCAAACGCGCAACAAAAATAAACAGTAGGGACCATCCAAATTAAAAAAAATAAGTTAGGGACAAAAACACAAATTCCCCTAAACCACAGGGACCATTCGTCTAATTTAATTTTTATTTTTCGTTTTGTTCATATTTAGGTAACTATTTTTTTTGTACACATCTAGGTAACGAACTTGTTGGAAGCGTTCACATTTAGGATTTTACCTGCTATAGCAGGTCATAATGGGCATATGTGAACACTTCCAACAAGTTTGTTACCTAGATGTGTACAAAAAAAAGATAATTACCCAGATATAAACATACTGAAAAGTTAATTATAAGTCATATTCCCTATATATTTTTATTGATTGCTCTTGATTTTACATGTAAATATGTAAATATTAATAAACTTTGAAACAATGTCGTTGCGGCGTCACGAGGCAGAATATAAAAAAAAAAAAAAAAAGTGCCAGCTGGTCCGGCCGAACATTCCAACACGTGTCAAATATCTACTCACGCGTGGTATTTCGACACGTTGCCTTACCCCTTTGTACCTAGACAACTACTTTTTCTTAAATTAATAATAAAAAGAAAAAACAGCCAGTCAATAAGTAACACACGTGTCACCACTACCCTTCCATTTCCATTGTCTTTCTCACATGTCCTTTCCTGGGTACTTTCCTCATAGGTCCCCCATCTTTTAAAAGGGTACTTTCGTCATTTTACTATTGGGTTTTATATTGCTTTCAATTGCCCCTTGTGGCTAAGAATTATACAACACACGCCCATCTACCTTCAATGTTTTTACATTATTTATCGACATAATTGGTTTAAACTTTATAGTTAAGTATGATAGATTGAAAATGTTGATGTAAATGTGTTTGACAGATTTTGTCTGAACCATTTAATATGCTTCCATGTTTTCATAAAATTTTGGGTAACAATTTTTGTATGTCAAATATTTTTCTGAATTTCTTGGTGTTTCTATGAACATTATAGAAAAGAGTTTATTTATTTATTTATTTATTTATTTGTTTATTTATTTTTATTTTTATTTTTATTTTTATAATTTATGTGTTATTTTGATTTTTTATATTGATATATGTTTGTCAAAACTAATTCTAATTTGTAGCCGGAAACTGAAGTCTTTATTTATATCAAAATGTTTGTTAAAAAGAGTTATAAGTTTTTTAAATGGTGTAAAAAAACAAAACTCTTCTAAAAAAAAATACTTGAACTAGCTTTTGAATTAGATGGTATTTTGTTTGAAATAAAAGTTTAAATTTTCTACTTTCAAACAAAAAAATTATTGAATTTAAATTTTTTCATAAAATATATAAGTTTCTAAAAGCTTTTACAACTCATTGTCGAATTAACATACTATAAGTAGATGCTTTTTAATTTAAACAAAAACGATGCAATAAAAGGTAAATTTGAAGAAAAAAAATAACCATATTGAAATAAATAAATAAGTAGAAGACTAAATGTTATATCTATAGGTAAAATATATTTCAGGCAAATCACAATATCATCAAAGTAAGTGAAGATGATATCCAAGCATAAACGGCTTACAAGGACAAAATGAAATCTAAGTATTGTGTTACAAGTATGAACTAGTTTGTGTATATCAAACTTGTACAAGAATCAATAATAACAATATATTTGTTAAAATATAGATTGACATTTAAATTTTAAAAAAATAAATAAATAAAATAAAATAACTAGCTTTCATTTACTTTTTCCTTTTTAAAACTAGCATCGGGTTGAGTACTCTTTACACTTTAGTATTAGGTTGAGTTTTTTTATTTAAGCATCTGGAGAATAAAGCATAATGATATTATACATAAATTAATATCTAATGGCAGTTCACATAAATAATATAATATATAATAAATATACACAAGTGATCTTGCGCTATAATTTCGATCGTTTTAATGATTGAAGAACAAACCCGATTCATTCTATTTTTTTTTTGTTGTATTTTTTAGATATTATTTTATAAAATTATGTTTTCATCAGTTGATGCTTATATCATGAAGCTAGCATGGTGAAGAGGGCCTAACAGATAATTTAATCTTATATGTTCTGTGGGATTCATCGTAGAATATTATATCGTAAACATGGTAGATTACTAGATTATATAGATGTGTGATTTTATTTAAAAAAATGATTTTTTTATGAAGAAGTTAGTGTAAATTGAATTACATTTTATAATATACTAAAAAAAGATTAATGAACAAATTCATTTAGTGAACCACTCTACATACTTGTGTTTGGTTCTATATTTTTCTTCATATTTTGTGTAGATGTTTCTGCATTTATATATTGTATTCGCGATTAAGAATATATATAATACTATTTTGTATTTTTATAAAACATTGTATGTTATGTCCTTGTTTGTGATATTTTATGTCTTCACAAGTTTTGATTTCAACTCCTAAAGTAAAATATTATGGACTTGCATGTGGTAAAACTATCTGAAATATAATGGTTAGTAGCGGGAAGCTAGATGTTGTAGATTTAATTTGAATATGATTTTACAAAAAAAATAAAATAGTTTCAAACTTTTTTAAAATATATAAAATTACATAAAAATACATTTACATGATTAGGATAATAATTATTAAGAGTAATCAAGTAAATTTGTTATGATATATAGGAGTTTTTTTATTTTTTGTTTAAAAGAAAATTTTTAAATTTCAAACCCCTATTTAACCCCTTCAAAAAATTCTAAACCTCCTTTGGTTAAAAAGTCCCTTAAGGACTCATCTAATAAATTGAGAAGGGAAAGGGACAACACAGCAGCAATCTGTCAAACTTGAAGGGGACAATTTGATAAATCTGTCTTCTCCACTCCTGCATCTATTTCCTTTTCCCCTTTCGATGATTCTCTTCTCGATTTGCTCCATTACTTCTCCCCAATCTATAATCTCCTCCTTCCTCCCACTGTTTCCGGCGATTGCTTCTTTCACTATTTCCAGTTGAATCAATTCGTTGGCATGTGATTCAGTTGTGAGGAGTAATTTCAATTTTTAAGCTCAAAATCAGTGCAATAGTGAACAAGATGCGGATTATAACAACCTTTTTCCATCCAGGTTTCTTTAAATCGGATCATCGGGTACTTGAATCTTATTTTGATGAATGAGTTGTGTAGGAGTTGAGAATCTGATTTGTGTCGATTATGGGCGAAAGAACAAACAATGAGATGGAGAATTTATCTTTACAGACGAAGAAGAGGTTTTCGAGAGATTTATTGCAGAGATTTATGGTGAGTAGTACCAATTTAGGAGATCCGAGAGGATCCGACCCGGATGATGAAGTAGAGCTGAATCTCGGATTGTCGTTAGGTGGAAGATTTGGTGTTGACAAGAGTAATAGCTCGTTGGTAAGGTCGTCTTCCATTGCTGCGATTTTGCCGGTGGTAAGGGACGACGATGACGTTTTGGGGGGTAGACAAGGGGGAACCGGAACTGGTCATGGTGAGGCTTATTCGAGTTTGATTAGAACGGCGTCGTTGCCGTTGGAGTCGGAGGAGTGGAGGAAGAGGAAGGAGCTCCAGAGCTTGAAGAGGCTCGCGGCGAAGCGACGGCGGTCGGAGAAGCAGAGGAATCTGACCAAGGTTGAACGGGAGGAATATGTAGCAGCTATAGGAAAAGGACCATCACCATCGTTGGGATCTGGTAACTGGGATTTTGGTGTCGCGACAACTACTGCCACATCCGACGGCAGCGGCGGGGGGCTCACTCCACCGTCGTTGCCGGGATCGGTGGAATCACAAACTTCAAGCAAATCGGAATTCGAGAGCAGACATCTTCAAGGTAATAATTAATTAATCCATCTCTCTCTACCATTTTATTCCACTAGCAAAAAAAAAAAAAACAACAAAAAAACTTACCGTTCTTATTGTCCTTTCAGGATCCAGTAACGAAAGCGAAAGTAGCGCACCAAGCAATCAGGACGGGAGCAGTTCATCGAGGTCGAAAATGGCGGATCCTGCACTCCGAGTTCCGAGACCCAAAACAGAAAATCCATCAAATAACAAGGGGAAAGAGGTTGGAATGAATACATTCGACATGCCATGTGTGTTCACGCAAGGAGACAGCCCTAGTGGCAGAAGAATCGAAGGAATCCTGTATAAATACGGGAAAGGTGAAGAAGTGAAAATAATGTGTGTTTGTCACGGCAGTTTTCTGTCGCCGGCGGAGTTTGTGAAGCATGCCGGTGGGACAGATGTCGTACACCCATTGAAACACATAGTTGTAAACCCTAATTCTTCTTACTTGTAATCCTGTGTTTTATCATAAACCCTAATTATTCTTACCTGTTTCTTTGTTTTTCTAGTATTTTATCAAACTCTATTTAAGATGCTAATCTCTCGTAATCTGTCTCGATTTTGGTTTAAACTTAGACCCAATACTCATATTATCATCATCATCATTATCATTATCAATCAGCCATAGCACAATTAGGCTTCTACTGTGTGAAAAAACACTACAAAAAATGTGAAAAAGATTGAAATCAAGCATCATGCTAAATTTACTTCGTCGCAGCAATGGCAAGAACATGACCATGAACGAAGCCGAGGCCCCTTTTTAGAAGCTGATGGCTTCTTGGGCCCACTTCCTTCCGTACTACAAATGCAAACAACCAATTTTCAACATAACCCTTCTTTTTATACAATTAAACAAGAAAAAAATGGAGTTTATAAAAAATGTTAAAAAAAACTTACGAATGAGACGAAGAAACTTTTTTTGGTTTACAAATGGAACACGTCATGCTTTTCCAGCATCCATTCCAACACGACCACTTTGAGATGTCACATTTACAAGACCACCATAACTTTTTTCTGAAACAAAATTAAGATGCTAAATAAATGAAAAACAAAAGTAAGCTGTTATCATTTTTTGCTAAGAGATATATAAAAACATACTTAGGTTTGGTGGTGGTGTGTTTGGTGGGTTCATTAGATATGTGATTGTTAAAAGGAGATGGCTGCCATTGATGACCATCAGGAGGAACTCCTTCTTCTGCAGGACGTTCAACTTGAGTTTTCCACCTAACAACTTTTTGAGGCTCATCTAATTTAGATGTGGTTTCAATTTTTAAACTTTCAAAATCACTTTCCACATTTATTGGACCAGAAAATGTTGTTAAATCATCGGATTTCACAGATTCCCCGGATTGGAATACGTCATTGTCATGTGTTAAACTATTGGTTATGTGAATGCTGAAAAGGGATTCATTGGAAACAGAACTCCATTCCGATTCCGATTCCGATGATGATGATGACGATGATGATGATGCGTCCTGAAATTCAAAATCTTCGGGTCTTTCCATTAGTTGGATTGGAGGTGATTGTGTGGGTGACAAACTACGGAATGTTGATTCCCGTGTGAGGTTTGAAACTGATGATGAACGATTGTTAAGCTCCTCTGGATCCATTTGGGTGGTTGAATCTACTTAAAAAAAAAAGTTTTGATTTAAGATGTGGAAAAGGAGGGATTATATAACTTATTGTGCAAAGATCATCATCATTATTCAGATCAGATCGGCATCAGAAATTCCTCCTTTTCCACAATGATGCTCTGGATCCCCCTAGAAATTAAACATGACAAGCTAAAAATAAGTTTTCCCCATATTAGTTATAAAAAATATAAGATGTATTTTTTTTTTTGCATAAATAGTAAACCGAATGTATGACAAACTGACAATATCAATGGACACAACACAAGTACAGAATCCCATCTAGGATCAAAGAAGTAATTTTGAAGTAAATTTGTCATTTCTGTTACCAATGATCCAGTTGCAGTGATAATAAATAGATAGCCATGGAATTCAATTCATTACAACCTATTTCCGGCATATTCAAGTAGCATCACAGTATGGTATTGGTTAGGTTATTTAATTTCATCATCATCAGAATTCAGGAGCTGGAATCATGAAACAATTGTCCTACATGAATTTCATCAATACCAGATAAATTACAGCATTAGAAAATCTGAAAAATGCAACTCATCTGGAGCTGGGCATCAAAATTCAACCAAATTCTCTCAAATTTCACAACAAAAACCGCACGCTATCAATCTAAATCGTATACAAAAACTTATATACGCGCGAATTTGTTGAAAGTCTAATTAGAATACATATAACGATAATGTGACTTGGGAAATTACCTCAAGTGGAGCTGCCAATCGAATACAATTTCCTGAAATATTGTCCCCTTTGTATTTTATTGTACAGGGGTTGTCGAAAAGAGGAAAAAAAAAACATAGGGTTTTTAGGGTTTGATAACATTCAAGATCGAAAGGTATAGCGATAATTTCGTGAGTTTTTTTTTTTTTTTTTTTGATACAGCAACAGATTTCATATTGATCCCCAACTTCTTTTGACTTCCCATTCGCGCCATTATTATGCAAACGCCTTTTAGTCGCGCCATTTTGCACGTGGCTAAATGTTGAAACCTAGTAACCTACTCATCAATTTAACCAAAACCAAGTCTTTTTTTTTTTTTTTTTTTTTAATTTAATGTAAAAATAATATCCTATTTATCTTTTAGATTTTCTCAAAGGTTCAAAAATGTTTATCATAGTTTCGTCTACACCATAGCTTTAAGACTTATATTTAACGTCACGTTTTAACAAAATAACGTCTTAAATCATATATACATGAATAATAATAGAATATATATATATATATATATATATATATATATATATATATATATATATACAAAATTATCGCTTTAACTCACGTCTTACAAACAATATGACACACTACGACTCGTAAAAACTTGAGGCTTTACATTGCCGCCAAGTCATGTCTAACATTATTTAGAACTTTGGTTTTCTGGAGTACCAACACCAACCATAAATTTGGTGGATATCACATCATTGTCACCTTATCACCACACATAACCATATTATCTTGGTATATTCACCACTCCACATCACTATATATCTCTTTTATATTTTAAATTTTTTTAAAATGTAGAGAAAAGTATATATATATATATATATATATATATATATATATATATATATATATATATATATATATATATATATATATATATATAGAGAGAGAGAGAGAGAGAGAGAAATTCATTGGGCGTTGTGGTTCGTTGTCTACACCAGAAAACACCACGACCTCTACCGAACACTAACCACGGGGTGGTGTTCACAGATAGTGTTCGTTTCCACATATATTACAACCCCCTCTGTTGTATGTACTCCGAAGGGCATTAGAGCCACCTTCTCAAATTAATACAGAAAAATCTCATTAGTAACAGGTCTCAAGTTTTATGTCTTAGTATATCATGCCAGTTAGCATAAAATAGACAATAAAAGATATGTCATAGGAGAGTTGAAAAGTAAGACCAAAGGATAATATGACCTTGAAATAGTGGAGAATGTGCTTGTAACAGCCCAAAAATTCAGATAAATTTTTTCATTTAATAATTAGAAATTTCATTCATATTTGTTTCTCCAAAGTTCCATTACATAAATATATTATTCAAGACCAGAGCTTCGTAAACAACTAATGCGGAAATACCGGAGAGTGCACGTTGCGCCATCAAGTCGGACCCTTGCCCTTAGAACCAGAAGTACCTGAAACACCCAACAAAATTGTAATCACACGCTTAGTGAGTTTCCTAAAATACACAAAACACATAACCATATAATGCAATGCACATATACACATAAATCTGCCATGGTCTTCAACCGGGATGCCATGGGCTACCCCTATGGTCTTATACCCAAGGGCCATGGGCTCCCCCTCATGGTCTTACCAAGTGCCATGGGCTCCCCCTATGGTCTTTACATAAATCAACACATACCAAATAACAAACCATTGCATATTTAACTATAGAAATCACTTATCAAGTAATGTGCCGGCATTGGTGCCTTCGACCCATTGGTATAGTGAGAAGACTCACCTCAGTCTGCTGAAACGGTCACTGCTCAACTACCAGCCAACAATCTCACACTAAACAAATATACAAATACCCTAACTAGGATTATAATTCACCCTAAATAAAAATCCCAGAAAACTAAGTCCAAATTCCTCCATAGTGGCCCAAAGGTCATTCCTTCACTAGTGGGCCTAACATCCAAGGTCCGCAACCATTATGGGCCACAAGGCCCAAAAGTCCCAACTAAGCTACTAATGATCAAATAATGAATTCCAGGGCCCAACAGATCCAAAACCTCAGGCCCAAGGTCAAAATCCCAAAACCCACATAAGGCCCAAAGATTTGAGCCCAACGCTTAACAAGACTACATGAATTGTACGCCGAACGTACACACTGGTACGCACAACGTACCTCAGCCGGAGGCAGTACGCACGACGTACATGGGTGTACGCGCGGCGTACACGCCAGTTATACAACAATCCATGCAAAGACTTAATACATTAAGATTTTACGTCCAAAACTCAGATATGGGCCCATTAAGATCTCTAGGGCTATAAAGTTGCCAACTTTAAGTCCTTACATGGCTACAAGAAGTCCAAAAACAAAGATCAAGTCTCTTAAGCCCTTTCCTACGTCTTATCTCAAGAATGGGGACCAAACCACCTCAAATCTTCCACCTTTAAGCATTGAGACACTAGAACATAACTGGAAATGCAACTAAAAGGCTTGGGAGTAGCTCATACTCACCACGATCTAACCTTTTTGGGTCAAAAGGGGAAATCTAGCCTCAACCAAGAACTTAAGAAAACACAAGCAAAGATTTGAGTTTTATACCTCTATGTGGTGCCAAATGAGTAGCAAACGATGGATCTAAAGTCTTGGAGACAAAGCTTTCTTCTTGCACCACCTTCTTCACCACCAAAGAAGCCCAAAATCTCACTAAAAGATCAAAAGGTTAATAAATGGCTAGGGTTAGCTAAGAGGGTTGAAATGACAGTGGAGGCTAAGGTGAGGGAAGGTCTTAGGGTCATAATGGGGTTTAAATAGTGCACAAACCCTAATCACTAGGGTTTTGGTATGAGCCACATACGCCCAGCGTACGAGATGTACGCGCAGCATACGCACCCGGAGTCCCCTACTCCCAGCGTAATAAGAGTTACGCCCCGCATACTAAAAAAGGTTAAGATTCCAATCTCGGGGACCAATAATGCCATAAACTCAAATTCCAAAAGTTAAAAAACCAACCTGATCAAACTTGGATGTTACAACTCTCCTCCACTTGGTCTAGACTTCGTCCTCAAAGTCCGCTAGTGCAAATAGATCTGGATGATGTTCTCGCATCTCATCATCCGGCTCCCAAGTCCATTCGGAATCCTTCCGGTGCTGCCATTGCACCTTTACTAGCTTTACCACTTTATTTCGAAGAGCTTTAGT